TCCATACATATAAAACCATGACATGTTTAAATTACATTCTACAAACATATGATTGTACCAGGAGCAAAGAAAGCATAACCAAGTATTTTGATTTTCCTCGGACTGGATCAAATATCAAATATCTTTTTGAACCATGATATTCTAGCATAATGCTATCACTAGATAATGGATCCTTTAAATACCTAGTCCAGTGATGGCAAACCTATGACATGCGTGTCAGAGGTGACACGCAAACTCATTTTTTTGGTTGATTTTTCTTTGTTAAATGGCATTTAAATATATAAAATAAATATCAAAAATATAAGTGTTTTACTATGGTTGCAAATACCAAAAAATTTCTATATGTGACACGGCATCAGAGTTAAGTTAGGGTTTTTCAAAATGCTGACATGCCAAGCTCAAAAGGTTCGCCATCACTGACCTAGTCACATGCATAAATATTCTTCAAAAAGAATTCACAGTTAAAAGAGCACCAGCATTTATTTGATCTTTTCTCTCCTTCCTTACCTCGTGAATGGAATTGAAGAGACTCCAATCAAAATTCATTAATTCCAGAGCAAGATCCCAAGTGTTCATTCCCAAGATCCTCAACGGCCTTTGCTGGGACTCCTCATTTTCTGCCAACGGTTCTAAACCAACAGAAGCAAAAGGACCCTCAGTGACCTCGATGTGCGACACTGCACTGGCTGCCTGTGGAAAGGCACTAGAAGCCCAGATCAGAAAAGCAATCTTGTCTGAGGGCACTTCATATTTCCCCCGATCTATTCACCTTCAGTGAGTTACAGCCAATTTAGGAAACAGCCTTGCAAATAGGAGAATGTGATCAATGAGTTGGCCAGCCCCCTGCCTCCCCGATGCGTGCCCGCACAAATCTGATTATAAAACACTGCCGGGCAGACAGCATAATGAAAGCAAAAGCTCTGAAGCTACTTGGGCTTCTGGTAGGAATTAATATGCCAGCAGGGTGAGTATAAAAACAAACAGAAGAAATGTCACGGCGCACTTCCATAAAGACAGACACGGTTTCTACAGGAAATGTGCTTAGTGAGACACACGTTCACACACTGTGCTACAGCGCTCGTGGGAAGCGAACACAATTTAAACGTGAAATAATATAAAATAAAAGTGACTTCATTTATACCGTGTGGTGGGGGATTATTTTAAGTATCAGTGCTTCCTTAAAATATGGCATGAAATTATTAAATGTCACCACAATTTTAAATCTACTGACACTGTTAAATGTATTAAAAATTATTCGGCCTCTTTTCAAAATATTTGACATTTTTAAATTAAAATAGAAATTCTCCCATTGGAGGGTGGACTTGAACAGTTAATGAAATAGTTACTGACTCGGAAAAGAAAGAATGCGACTTTGCAAACTACATGACATCGCAGGAGGGAGGCAATCGCTCCGATTCCAGGTATTAACCTCTGTTTCTAAACTGCAAAATAAACTATTTGCATTTTAGAATTTTTACATATATAAATAGTTTTTCTAATTAAAAAAAGGAATGGCAAAGGACCTTCACAGAGCTTTTCCACAGACTTGATTCTGCTCAGAGCAGGTCAAGGTACAAATTGTCCCCGTGTCCCCAGAGTGGGAGGCAGAGGGGAGCTCAGCCTGGGCGGATGGCCTGTGCACATGCAGATATGGAGGCGCTGAGGTGGGGACAAGCCAAGGCTTCTCAGGGATTGTCTGATGGGACCAGACGGAAACCAGGCTGCACGGCAGACACTTGGAGGGAGAGCCACGGGTTGAAAAGTAGCACTAACCTCGACTCACTGAGCTGGAGGCGTAAGGATATTTTCACATGGCCTTGAAGCCCTCCTACTCTCTCCCTAAATATGCCCCTTACCTTGATACTGCCCTACGGTTTATTCAAGGTTGTCTACCACCCTCTCGGAGAAATGCTTTCTATGTATTCCTCCATCCCATTCATCCAGGGCTCCAGTCCTGCTTTCCAAGAATATTATCTACAGGCAAGTATAGTGGATACTGGTGGTTTCATGTGCTATTCATCCTTTACAATGTCCCCTGTCAACTGAATTATTTTGGAGATAAAATACCTACAGCTATGATACTAATGGGGAAATGTTAGGTGGTATGCAAAGTTGGTGGGGGAAACATTCGAGGGCAGGACGGTGTCTGGCTCATCTTGGAATGTACTTTGTAGCATCCACTGGGACCCTGACTCGGGCCTGCCTTCTCCTCTTCTGCAGCTGGCCCTGGGCAGCGGAGATGAGAGCTCTGGGAATGCAGGTTCCCTCCACCACCAGGAGCCCAGAAAAGCCACACAGTAGATTGTGCTCCTTCACGGGGAGGGGTAAAGTCCACTCAATCTCATCATTTACTCAGAGATGCCGCGCTGCATCAGTGTGTCGTGTGTCACTGATGGAATTACATCATGTGCAGACACAGGCGAGTGACCTGTGGGATGCTCAGAACTGGAAAGGGCCCAAGTTAGAGCCGAATATAAATGGAAGCGACCCTAGCACTGTCCCCTCCGTGATTGTGGGAGGCTAGAGTAAGCTACTCAGCCTCTCCCAACTCCACAGGGTGACTGGGATGGCAAATGAGATTGTATATAAATTACTCAGCACCTACGTGTCTGGTAATAAGTATCCAAAATGACAGTGACTAATATTATGGCAGCTTGATATCCTGTAGGTAATTTAGCATAAAACGTGTGTTATTGTAAGCCAGGCTGGTTTACCTACATGGCATATACATTCCTCAGTTATATGTACACCAGGAGCCAGCTAGGCAGCCCCAGCCCAGGGATGACTCCATGACACAGACTGGGAACCAGGAGTCTAGAGGGTACAGTCACAACCTGGTAAAACGGGCTTCTTATGGGCAATGAACACTCCCATACAGAGAGAACCAAACACAGGTTTTTAGAAACAAGCATCTACTTAGGTGTCAATGTTCTTACATTTGAACTGAAATAACTTACAGTATGGTTCCTACATTTCCTTAACCGCTCACTCTTCAGTGGCATCCGAGGTCCCACTGTTATGAGACCATTTTGCACGGGGAAGGCTGACACCCCTTCTTCAAGAAAAGGGGTGCACTCCAGGAGCATCAAATGGATGCAAACCAAGGATGGAGTTTCTCCCTTAAATCCTCTCAGGGTGCATCTCTTGGCCTACTCTCCACATGTCCGCCAGAAAAGAAGACGTGGAATTAAGATCCATTGGTAAAGAAGTCACTTCTCTCAAATCCCTTGTTTCAGGGGCTCAGAGAGAAGGAGGATTTGACTGAGGAAGGGTTTAGAATTCCTCAAGTTGTGCGTCTTTGATTTGCCAAGGCAATGTTACTTGACACGTGTATTGTTGGTTAGAAGAGGAAACAATTCAATGTATTTTTCTGGCATTCATTATGAAACAGACACAAGTATGCTTTCAGTCTGACATCTGTGTCCGTGTGTTTCAAGTGCAAGGCTAAAGGTCCTCACCAAAGTGTCAGCCAGGTCTTTCCGGTAGACATATATCCGGCCAGATGCTTCCAGGGATTTGGAGATGGCCAGGTCATTGGGATGAAGTTCACGCTTTCCTATATTAAAAAAAAAATAATTTAGAAACACACAAACAGTAGTAGGCATACAAGGTGTATATGAAGAGTGAAATGCACCAAAGAAAAATATTTCAAAGTAAATAGGATGCAAAGTAGGTGGAATTGAGTTCTGCGTAGTCCAGGGGTGGGCAAACTTTTTGACTCGAGGGCCACAATGGGCTCTTAAACTGGACCGGGGGGCCAGAACAAAAGCATGGATGGAGTGTTTGTGTGAACTAATATAAATTCAAAGTAAACATCATTACATAAAAGGGTACGGTCTTTTTTTTTTTTAGTTTTATTCATTTCAAACGGGCCGTAGTTTGCCCACGGCTGGCGTAGTCTCTATAAATGACACCAATGATACTGTGGGGGCAGGGCCATCACTGCTCACTATCCATGAAGGAATCCTCTTATGAGTCTCTTAGGATATTTAGTCATTCTTTGGAATACAGAATATTTTAGGGGAGAAAGTACAATTTACTCATAACCCCAGCACTCTATGATAACCATATGATGGGAATATTGGTTAACATTTAGGCATACTTTTGTTCTGATTTTTATGTAAGAGAGAGAGAGAGAGAGAGAGAGAGAGAGAGAGTGTGTGTGTATTCATATACATACATATAGTGGCAATTATTTATACATATGCATACATATTTATTATGAATACATATATTTTTGATTACATAGTTTTATATTCTGATTTTTATTATAAGCACTTACGCATTTGTCAAAATTATTTACATATGTCATATTTAATTGGTTCCATAACAGTCTATTATACTATCATTTAATTTTCCCGCTTTTGTTGAACATTTCAGGTTTTCTAATTTTTTTGGTCATATAAATTAGATGGCAAGATGTATGCTAAATCCTAGCACAGGGCCTGGGATGTAGCAGGGGCTTGATAAATGGGATCTATTATTACCGCAGCCATAATATATACTGCTGAAGTCAACATCCTCATGCATAAATCTTTGGCTGCTTATAGATGATTTTCTCAAGATAGATTCCCAGTAGTGGGATTAGTGGGTCAAAGGGAATGAATATATTTGAAGTTTTTGGTGCAAACTGCCAAACTGTTTTCTAATACACTGACCAACACTGATCATTACTTTTGGTAAGTTGGCTTTTATTTTTTGCTGAAACCAAAAGCAGATTTGCAGTTTATTGTGTATTTCTTGACTGCCAGTGAAGCTGGAATTTTTCATATAATCTTCTTCCATTTTATTTTCCTTCTTGCAAATTGTCCCTGTCCTCTGACCATTTCTCTGCCATCGCTGGAGCTCTCCTGTACAATAGAGAAATGTATTCCTCCTAACAAGACGCAGGTGGGGATCGACCACAGGAATACTTGAGTTTATTCCCCTGTAATGCAATCAGCTCCCCGCCGCCCCCCCAAAGCAGCCCTTCTGATACCCAGCCTGGCTGGGAAAGGCGACATTCCACCTCTTTTTCTAGGTAACCTAATCAGCGTAAATGCCAAATTTTGTTTTGAACAGTTCTGCTTAATACAGAGCACACGAACGATAATCTAATACATTCTTTACAGCCCCACATTATAAAGATCAATAGCACTGTCATGTCGGGCTGTTGACGTGTGTAGTAAATGGTCCCACACGGCTGGGCTCAGAGGTTCTTCCATCTCCTCCCTCTTTGTTTGGCTACAATTTCTTGCAACCCTCTGTGTGCCCAGATGTACCTTCAATCTGAATTTATGAGAGCCATTCTGCACTTGCTATGGGATCGAATACCATGGCGTCTGACAGTAATTTTTCCAGGTGCTCAGAAATCCCCCCTTCTTTTCAGGTTTGTCACCATACTATAAAAGATTAAAGCCGAAAACATTTTAAGCTCTGAATATCTGGGTAGGTTGTTATTACATACATATACCTACCCTCGGTACAAAATAGCACAAAACCTACTGAAAGCTATAAGGATAACAGTAACAGTCTTTTTAGAAAAAGCCATGAAACCTACAAAAAGCCAACATCTTTAAACTTTTTTTTGACAGTCGATCTCATTGTCATTTTATTTTGCAGTAGCATTTGAAACATTATTTATTGAAAATTGTGTAATTAGAACAAGGAATACATTAAGCCCTGTTTTTTTCTTCTTCTTCATAAAAATATGATTGTTCAGGGGATATTAAGCTGCAGGCAGAAAGGTTCTTAATGGATGAAACTGCTGATTGATGGAAACTGATGGCACATTTCCAAACTGGTGGGATAATTCAAGAGATAAGCTGATATTTCTAGTGATGATTAGCAATGAGTCTACGCATATTAATTCGCCACTGCCCACCCGGGTGAATCTGATTTAATAGAGTGTAAAAATGGTATTTCATGGCCATCAGATAGAAACTGGGTAGTAAGAGAGCTGCTCATTAATTTCCAAGTTCACACATGGCCCTGTGGGGTCCCACGTGACTCTCTGGGGCCCCCCCAGTTCACTCAGGTCCTTTCTCCTCCAGCACTTCTGAGCGGGGACCCGGGACTACTTTTTGTAGTGTTACTGTCTTGAGAGGCAAATGTTGGTTTTGATGAAACTTAATATGTATTGTTTAGGATCATTTAATAATTTGGTCACTTAAAATTAAATATAACAATCATTTGTCACATCTAACTGGAATGTCTGAAATATTTTATTAAAAATTCAACCACTCTCTGATTAAAATTCATGTAATCCAGTTTCTCAAAGTTTTGCTCTTTGTTTTTCTAGGTCAGTGGTTCTCAACCTTGGCTGCACATTAGAATCACCTGGGAGTCTTTTTAAAATCCTGATTTCTGGGCCTCATCCTCCGGAAATTCTGTTTCTTTGTTATGGGGTGGGGCCACAACATTAGTAACAAAGAAACAGAATTTCCGGAGGATGGAGCCCAGAAATCGGGATTTCAAAAAGATTCCCAGATGATTCTAATGTGCAGCCAAGGTTGAGAACCACTGTTCTAGGTAATGTTTTGACGGGATGCACACCTAGGGCCCTAGGAGAGGGAGGAGGCCCTCTCGCTGACGAGGCTGGATCTGTCCGCGTTGCAATCCACTAGCCTGCAGGTGGGACGGTTTTACCTGGCTCCGAGTAACAAAGCAAGAGAAGCAGTGTTCGGTCCCATAATGCTCTCATGTCAAGTTAAATTCTGATATTCCTCTCCTGACTCTAGAATGCTAACAAAGGGTGAAGAGCAATGCGGTCATCTGCTCCCCTCCCCCACCCACCCGCTCACCTCCTCCCATTTTTCAATGCTAAGTCACTTCCTTTGTATTTTTCTCAGGGTTAATGAGATATTCAATAAAAACCATAAGCCAAAAAGGAGGCCAGCCTGCTGCAGTCTCACAGGCTCTGGTGAAAGCGAAGGGTCTGCTCAGGTCGCAGGGATCAATAGTGTCAGCTTGTAATCTGTGTGATCTTATTCCAAACAGACAAGAAACCATCCTCTGAGGATAAATGAGGCCCGAGAGGAGACAAAGCCATAAGCAGGCCTCCCTCCCCACGTCCACCTGCGGGAACATGGCCTGTGAGCTTCGGGCCTGTGGTGCAGGCTTTATTTCCTGCAGTCGGGAGTCTGTAAGTATTAAATCGTCAGCCAGCAATATGCCTAGCTCAAGGCTGTGCTTCTTTTTCCTTCCCAAAGTAATTTCATCCTTTAGCAATTTCCCACGTTAATTTAAATATGAAAACAGAGGGCTTATCTAGAGTACAAAATATGAGAAGCTTTCTAATGTATTTCCGAGCATGGGCATGCCTCTCTAAGCAGCTCTCAGGAAGGATGCTCAGCATCCCATGGTACCCGGCTGTCGTCATGGAAACTCCTCTGGTGGGCGGCATCTCATTGTCCCTGTGGCCGTCCAGCTGCGGACCCGAGGGGAACGCGCCGCACGCACGGTGACTCTGTATGAATGTGAACTCCCTCCCCTCGGAGGAGACCCAGCGAAAGGTTAGTGTTCGGGGACAGAAGAGCGCTCACCCCCGGAGAAGGAGACGGCCACCAGGGCCAGGTCCTCTTCCGCGTGCTGGATCTTCTCCGCCACGACTCTCAGGACCTCCTGGGCTGTACTGGACACTTTGGCCTTCACGCTGACATACGAGTGCTCCGTGATGTACACGTGGCAAAAAACTGCACAGGACAGAAGCCTAGTCAGTACACGGAGGGCCGTGGCTCTGAGGCACAGACTTTTCTAAAAATCAAGGTGCCCACCCTCTTCGTTTCACTAGTATGAAACATCCACAGCTAGATGTACCTACTGATGCACGCACGTGGGCGCCGGAGGGCATGTGCACACAAATGTGTGCTTGCACACACACGAGAAACAGACTTTATGTGCTACTGAGCGAGTCTGAGTAGGACTCGGGCTTCCCACACGGTCATGAGAGACCCAGGTGCGTGCTCACGGTGGAGCTGGTCGACCCAACACAGGGGAGTCCGCGGAACCTGTACTTTTGAGTTCCTTTTGTGAGGGTTACTGATCGCCCAAAGCAGTCTACTGAAATGTCTAGCATACATTTTTACTTTACCCTCCATTTCTGGACAGTCACAGTGACCCAATCAAGACCACCACATTTTGTTATTAGAATTCTCTTAAGCTTATCTAAAAATTCGTCATTTGCCATGGTTTTTGTGTACAGCCTTTTTATAATTCTTAATTTTTAACTTTATTTTTATTGCTGACATTATTACAGATGACCCCATATCCCCCCCTACTCCTGTAGCCCACCTCCACCCCCAACCCAGCCTCTGCCCTCTCTTCCCTCTGGCCATCACCACGCTGTGGTTTGTGTCTACGGGTTATGCATACATGCTCTTTGGCGAATCCCTTCACCTTCTTTCATCCGGTCCTCCCCTCCCCCTCTCCTCTGACATCTATCTGTCTGTTCCATGTATCCATGCCTCTGTTTCTATTTTGTCTGTCAGTTTATTTTGTTCATTAGATTCCACATATAAGTGAGACCATATGGTATCTGTCTTTGTCTGACGTGCTTATTTCACTTAGCACAATAATTTCCAGGCCCATCCATGCTGTTCAGTGGTGGTGAGTTTAGTTTCCAACTAGTGGTCACATTTCTAGCCATTTTAATTTCCTTTTTATTGTCTGCAGTGCTAATAATTATTACTAGGACATTATCACCAGCTGGGTGAACGGGTCCTGGTGAAATGCTTCTTTATGATTTGGTAGCAGAAACTGTTTTAATAGCAATCGAGATAACTGGCACATTACTGCTTATTTTCTCAGCTATTTTGAACAGTAGTGTCCCTGGGACACTATTACATGATCAAGGAGACAATAACGCCCAAAGGCTGTGTTTCCAGGCAACGTTACACTCTTCCCACCTTTTCCTCTTCTTTAGAAAAGACAGAAGGACAGTGATATACTGAGACATTTTTCTCTCCTATAATACGACATTTTTTAAAAAGGAGAGCAGCTGCTGGAGAAATTTCATATGAAATTTAAACGGCACCACACAATAACCCCAGGGATGTTTGCACAGAAATGCAAGTAAAGCAAAGACAAACTATGAGTTTACATGTGCCAACCTCAACGTAAGCGCGCCACCAGGAGGCACTGACAGTATTTAGCTTTTGGTTTCCTTGGGCGTGTCACTGAGACAACAGCATCTAACAAATAGTTGTTTGATATGTTGTCAACAGACTCCTGAGGGACAAAAAGGCCTTTTTCCTTGCATAGGAACATGGAACTTTTGAGCAAGGCAAAGATCCCATCTACAAGCCACTAAATGTGATGTAATTCACAGCTTGCTTAACAAACTGATGAACGAAAAGAGGCCAGGGCCTTGGAATACTCAGCTTGGAAAACGATGCAATTAAATTGTGGGACAAACAGGAAAGGAAGATCAGCAAGCAAGGAATTAGAGGTGAGACCATTTTGTTTGCTCTTCCACTTCTTATGACACAACAGCACCCTCGCGAGCAGCGTGATATATAAACACCACCACAGAAGTAGTATTCTTGTGACATTGCGCTAAGTGTTCAAGAGGCTGAGCAAATGTTAACGCTCTCACTTTGAACTGCAGTGCTGACTGAAAGGCCAGTTAAGGGAGAAGGTCTCTGAGTCACCTCGAGTGAACATTTTAATTGCTGTGTTTCCCTGCTCTGCACTTGACTCAGCCCTTATCCAAACAGGAGGAACCCGTGTTCTGTTCCGTTACAAAATGTTACCATAGAAAAGCATGTCAGCGTCTTCAGGGAGCTGTTTGCCCTCGTACTGACCGGTGGGCCCCGAGCCTTTGGGGCACTGATGGGCATGGACTGAGGACACGCTGGGCGTGGGGCACTGCCCAGCACCACCATGTCTTGCAGGAATTTTGATTGCACATCCTTCCTTTCATTATTCTCTCAGAGATTTCTTTTCTAAACATGCCCTGCACATGGGCTTCAGTGGCCTTTCCAGCTAGTCACAGGCCAGGGGCTGACGGGGGCGGGGGGGGGGGGCAGGGAAGGACCCAGAGGAAGGCTGCATTTCCAGGCAATTTTGCACCTCTTCCCAAGAATGGGGGAAGCTCTTTGCAGTCTCCTTTCCGTAGTTCCCAAATTGGGACTTGGCCAGTGTCCTTGGGCCTGGCCAGTGTGGCTCAGTGGTTGAGCACAGACCCAGGAACCAGATCATGGTTGGATTCCTGGTCAGGGCACATGACCAGGTTGCAGGCTCTATTCCCAGTAAGGGGTGTGCAGGAGGCAGCTGGTCCATGATTCTCTCTCATCACTGATGTTTCTATCTCTCTCCCCTCTCTGAAATCAATAAAAGCATAACTAAGAAAATGTCCTTGGTCCCGGGGGACACTATTACATGATGAAGAAAAGGGTAGCACCCAAAGCAAGAAAAGAAAAGCCATCATTTTTTGCTGCTAATGTGCTGGTTAAAGGGTGGGACAGCTGGAGTGTTCAAGCTGTAGAGCGATGGTGACTGACAGCGGCTCCACCTACCCCCACACCACACTCACTTTCCTCCGTTTCAGTCACAGTGCCTCGATGCTGGAGCCAGTTCTCCTTAAGACTGAACTGGTGGAAAAGGGCCTTATTCTGTGAGAAGGGAGAACAAGAACAATGAATGAATGTATTCCTGCCCTTTGGAAAGCCACAGCTGTTTACAACATGTTCCAAAAGAGCTAGCCAATTTCTTTTTTAAATATGAAATCCACCCATCCAATCACAGAGGAATAAACTGGGAGTTGCCTCAGCTAATGCATGTGGAGGTGGACAGTCTGAGCAACACGACAGACCTCCGTCAAGGCCAGCAGGGCAAAAAGTTCCTCCGATTATTCCCTGCCACAAGCTGCAGAGTATATGGTTACGACAGACACCCCCAGATTCTTCTGAGAACCCCAGTATCCACCCTGCTTTGGGATAAAGCAGCCTTGAGATGGCCTCGTACTCTGCTGTAGGACAATGACTTTCCTAAGGGAAACAGGTACCTTATCAGCTTCTATAAAACTTGTGCCTGAAACTCACTTTACATTCTCTCCCTCAAGTTGAATAGGAAACACATTCATTCTGGCTACCACCCCTCTTTCTGGGTTGCAAGTGCGAAACTTTTTCTTCTAAGACTTTTTTACTCTTGCTGTCAAGATTCTTGCCTGGAATTTTTTTTCTTTTTCAGTGTTTGACATTCAGATTTGCATCACTCTGGGGACACTGGGGAAACTCCGGGACTCCAAAATGCCCCACCAGAAACAAAAAAACAAAAACCTGAGAGCAAGTCCAGGGCACAGGGCCGACCCTGAGCCTGCACTAGCCCGGGGAGGCTGATGCAGGAGAGTGTAAGCAAGCTGCAGCCTAGGTCCCCAGCCTCTGAGCCGAATCACCCCATCTCAGGCAAGAGGGGCTGCCTTACTTACCTTCCTCTGTGGTGAATATTCGTCGACGGTGCTGAAAGGAAAAGAAGGAGAAGTCAGTCTTTGTCCCAAACCCAGAATAACGCAGCTATTGTCCCCGAAGACTCATTTTCAGGCCCTGGGCGGAGGCTTTTGCTTTTCCAAAAGATAAGACACTTGACCTTGGGCTGTGGGTTCCCAGGGAACCGGGCAGACACGGAGCCGTCTGCCCGACGGGTGTGTTTTGCTTCCCACCCGCAGAAAGCGAACCCTGCAGGCCGAGCCAGCTCTCTGCCCTCCACAGAAGCCCCAGTGCCCTCAGAGGTGGACAGATTTCCGTGGAGAGCATCGCCACTGCGGGAGCTAAATGCTGCACTGCATCTCTCCCAGGATATTTCTGCGTGTGGTGGAACTGGGGGACATTCTGCAGGGCCCCAGCTCAAATCTTCTTCCAGAATCTAAAGACATTTCATAATCGTGTACCAAAAACCCATGGACCGTGTCTTACACCATTTTCTTACTTTAATTTATTATTTCCCACTTCTGCGTAAGTTCTTCAATGAAATGTGTTACATTCCATTCATGCCTTTAAGGCATTTAAGTGTATGAAGCCAAGGACGGAAGGTTCCCAACAGGAATAAGGCCTCCCTGCAGCACAGGCCGCCTTCCACAGGGGGACTATTTTGATGTTGTTTGTCTTTCCTTTTTGTTTCATTTAATTGTTCCTATTTTCATACTAGTCACAGGCTATGGAAACGGCAGATTGCAGGCCCCGATAAAAGAAGGCCACCCTAATCCACAACATTCATTTCTAACATACAGTCCCCACTTACACCTCATTTCTGGATTTCTAAACATGTAATTTTCGTGTTTGAGGATTTATTTGCTCCCTAAAATTACCTAGACATTTAATTTGCAGGAGGATCATTCTTTACTGAAATCAAGTCAGGTTTTAAATCTCACATCAGTAATCTGGAAGGCCTGAATTAACATTTTCTAGGAGACGTGCATTGGTGACTGCTGGAATCTTAATAGAAGTTTCACCACTTGACAACAGATGTGTTTCGTGTTTGCTAAGTAGAAACCACATTGTAAATCAGAGGACAATTTTCCCCTTCAGATTAACTTTGCAGCTATAGCTGAATAATGAGTTGATGTTTTCATTTACCAAAATGAATAGGAGAGTTTGTATAGTCAGAGCAAAGTCAAGTTTTGGCAATTTGAAAGACTAACGATAGATACCTGGGGGGCCCTTGGACATGTCGAAAGTCATTGAGTAAATGGTTTCCTTTAATCTTTCTAAAATGATTTAAAAAAAAACACACCCTTGGGAGCCCATAAAACGAAGCTTTTAAAATGCTCTATGACTTGCTGGGACTTATTTATAAAATACTTTTTTCCTATTCCACCAGAGATAGCTATGAGCCCCTAAAACAGCAAGTTAAATAGTTACACTTTTAAAATTACATATTAATATATTAAATAATTGTTTTTTGTTTTAATCCTCACCCAAGGATATATTTACTGATTTTATTTTTAGAGAGATGAGGGGGAATAGAGAGAGAGAAACATTGATTGGCTGCCTCCTGCACGTCCCAACCAGGAATTGAACTCCCAACCTAAGTATGTACCCTGACTGGGAATCGAATCTGAGACCTTTAGGTGTACCGGATGACACTCCAAACAAATGAGCCACCTGTCCAGGGTTGAAATTATTGTTTTTAGATTGTCTTGGCTCAGTTTGTTTCTCATGTATCAAAAGAAAGTTAAAAAGTAGTAGATAAGCTTGATTTAGTGTTCATTCATTTTGAGACATAAAAACAAAACACAATTTACAACTAGAAAAGCTAAAGAAATCAAGATGACGCTCAGATTCAAAATGAACTTTCTGGGACATCTCGAATTCTACCACATTTGCCGCTTTCTTTCATTGACTGTAACATGGAAAATGAAATACATACTGACGACGGTGCATTCCAAGTATCTTTTGAAATTCTTTCAATTCTTTTTCAAGTATTGGATATTCATATACATCATCCAGTACGTTCCTGTATATGGTCTGGGGGGGAAAGAAAAATGGCAGTTCCATTTAGTAATGTCCATTTAGACTTATACAACGGTTATGCCCAGGGAATCGGTGGCCTCCAGGACAACACAGGGGTTCACCCAGGTACCAGGGAGACCCTGAGTGGGGTCACACCTCCAAGCCCCTCACTCGGCTGGCATGGCCCTCTTGCAGGTCTTAGGGCTGTAGGTAGGAAAGGCTGGAAACTCAGAGCCTTCTGGCTGGCTACAGCAGATTCCTATGCCTGTTCTATCCTTTAAAAAATGCTACCCACATAATGATCTGGGAGGGAAAAATGTCAATTGAGTTATATTACCCAATTGTTTTTGAAACAACGTTAGTTTAGTCAAAGAGCTGGTTGAACAGCTTTTCACTGGATGTCTAAATGACATCTGAATTTTGAATTTGAGTGGTTTACTCCATGAAGAGAAACAGCCAGACACTTCCCTGTTCTGAAACAGAGCCCTTCCTGGCTCAAGTCCCATTGGTCCCTCTGTGTTAACCTGCACAGCTAATACGGTTTGGGTGGCCAAAGAAATCCAAGCACTTACAAATCACCTCCAGAGAGTGATCTGTGTTGAAAAGATGGTGCAGCCTATTACTGATTAGAAAAATACATCAGTTTATCTAACTCCAAATGTACATCTAGGTTAGCATCTATCTTATAAGCTATTATTACTTACAATTCTCAAAATATGCCATATCCTCAAAAAGGTTCATAATGTATATATTGGGAATATAGTTTTTAAATGATAATGTTTTATCCAAATATTGTATATATGAGACCGGTTAGTTCAAATTTATAATAAATCCCAACATATTAAATACTATTAAGTTTTGAAGTACGTTTTATTTTACCTTCCTTCATTATTTCATTTGCAATCAAACTTCCCATGACTTGTATAAGGTAACATTAAGTTAGTGAATGTAAAATTTGCCTCTACATTTTTTCATAATGAATTAAAATGTTAAAAATTCTATCTATGTAAGGAATATCAGGCCTTAAAAGTCAAAGCAAATTAACACTTTGTTCAAATCATGACTATAACCTACAAATGAGTTTTTCAAATGCATAACTAAAAATAAAAGCAGTCATCTGGCCTCAAGGGATAGCTGGCAGTTCCCATTACCTTTAAGAACATTTTGGAATGTTCATCTTCATGTAGCCAGTCTTTGTACAGAGAAATCCACTGCGAAACAAGATGCAAGACCTTACGTTTCCGACAAGGAACATCCGAGTTTTCTTCTTTGCCTTGATACTTCTTAGCAGAATAGGTGCAAGTGGTTAAGAAAGAATAGTGCCTTGTTGAAAATAAAAATGTTCTTATGAAAGCATATTTTCTAAAGAATCTACAGGTATCTAAGCTTACAAGGAAGAAAAGAATATCTGTAGAGAGACCAAAAGGTGTATATTGCAAAGAGCAAAAGTAAAGCCAGGAAAAGGATTTACGCACACTCGGAGACAGGCCATGCAGATGAGGGTTAGACGATGCCACTGTCACCTGCTGACTTAGTTCCGTAGGTGGCACAGGTTACTGTCACCTCGAAGAGATACTAGGTGGCCCATTAATTTCAAGGGTGGCTCCAAGGGATCTGGCCACACTGTTTCCATGAAAGTTAGGAGAGAGCGAGGCCACATATCCTTTGCTCCTCAGAAAGTCACATTCTGTAAAACCAGTTACTTCTAAAGTAACCCCAAATGAGCACAGATTTCTGAAGCATAATTTGTGACATTTTTCAAATGCCCACCCCTAGGAATTTACTTGAAATAAAAAGGGACTGGATAAATGTGCAAACATAAATAAAAAGGACTGCTAATTTTAATTTTCACTGGAATAAAGAAAATATGAATGCTTTAGTCACTGAGGATAGTTAATGAAATTATTTACATATCCACTTAATGGGCTATTCTGCAGCCATAAAACTGATAGCCCAGCAGTACATTTACTGACAAAGAACATCCCAGCATATCGTTAAGTAGGAGAATAAGAAAAGGGCGTGTTAGGATGATCCATTTCCATTAACTATGCTCATTTATACAAATAATTCCATTACCTGGAAAGATATACTGACAGTTAACAGTGGCTTCTCAAGGTAATGAGATTTTAGAACACATGAATTGCTACTATACTTATAAGTGTGTTTTCTAATTTGTATACAATGACCATGTGTTAACTATGTTGTTAAAATTGTTAAAAACACCCTAGCTGGTTTGGCTCAGTGGCTAGAGCGCCAGCCTGCAGACTGAAGGGTCCCAGGTTCAATTCCGGTCAAGGGCACATGCCCGGGTTGCAGGCTCAATCCCCAGTAGGGGGCGTGCAGGAGGCAGCCAATCAATGATTCTCTTTCATCATTGATGTTTCTCTCTCTCTCTCTCTCTCTCTCTCTCTCTCCCATCTCTGAAATCAATAAGAATATATTTTTAAAAATTATTAAAAATAATAACCTCAAAGGCAACATGGTTAAAGCCCGAGGAATGAGACAGAAGCTTGGTGTTTTCCAAATCAATCTAGTGTTTTTGTCTGCAAAATTATGATTTCTGAGTCTCCTGGACACTGGAAGGTTCACTAGGAATAGGAAATGCTAAGCTACAACACACAGGTAGGCTTTGGGGTTGATGGACAGGTGTCTATATTCCTTAAGGCTGATACATAATTGCAAAAGAGAAACAGATTCTATATCAGGCTTTGTACACATTTTAAAACATAATTCAGTAACTGTCTCCTGAACCTGCAAAAATACATACGACCATCTGATTTCTTTAATTTCCACTGGTGACGTAAACTCAGGCAAACATGAAAGACTGTTAAAGTATCCATTTCGTTCAGTTTTTCTCTTGAAAGGCAAAATATAAAGATTTATCCCACTTATGCAAATGCCGTTTTCTCCTTTTCCTGTAACTATCATGGCTTGACTACTATGAAGAAAAAAAAATATGGAAAATTAAGAAATACTAAACTTCTTCTTTTTAGGTCAAGAGGTAAATAAGCTTTTTATTATGGCTGCATATACATTCTACAATTATGGGCCTGCAGGTTAAAGCAATTTTGAGAACTGAAATTTCAATAACTCTTCTTCATTCATCATTATCACCATTTATTTGCTTAATCATGTTCTCTACCCTACAAGATGCACTTTAAAAGTATATACTGGTTAAATTTACATTCATATTATTCTGGTTTTCTGGTATCAGGACATATTCAAATGTATGTTCACACATTTTGCTCATGCTAAATTATATTGGCTTATAAATTTAGCTGGGTGTGGGGAGAGAAATAGTGGGAAAGTATTCAGTGTAATGCAGTGAACATTAGCCCAACTGGGCTGTGAGCTTAAATAATGCTCTTTATGATGATAAAAGTTGAAAGATCTTAAATTCCATCACAATAAAAGTATCCACCTAAGATATCCCAACACAATAAAATTGGCTCTAACCTATAAATATTCAAAAAACAATGGGGGAAAACAACAAAAAAATAATTTGGGCCATTCTTTAGAATGTGATAGCAGTAGGGTATAAAAGATATCTTCACTAAAATATACTTCAAACCATCTCAGATTAAATATGGATATCATATTTTTGTTTGTGATTTGCATTATTTCATAAAAGGCAGAGACTATAAATATATCAAAATAGTCATGTAAAAAGATTCCTGGCTTAAAATGTTCTGGATTTCACGGGTTTGATAATTACTAAAAAAGCTGCTAAGAAACTGAACTAAATTTGTATATAAGACTAGAAGCCCAGTGCATGAAATTCATGCATGGGGGGAGGGGGTGTCCTTCAGTCTGGCCTGTGCCCTCAAGTGATGTCTGACTGCTGGTTTAGGCCCAATGCCTGCGCAATCCGGGACGCTGCATGCACCAGTGACCATACTTTTCATACAGGTGAAAGGCATCTTGCTGTTGTATGGGCAGCTACATTTTTTTGCCCTGATTATAAAAAGCAGTACATAGCATGATCCTTCTGAGGCAGTAGTACCATTTTCCCCATCTTATGGGTGGAAAAACTGAAGCAGAGAGAAGTTAAGCAATTGGCTTTGTCACACAGTTATAAGTGTCAGAATCAGGGCTGACCACAAAATGTGCAAGGTGGAGTCCATGCATGTCATCCCTGCATCATCCTGTGTTTTTTTTTCAGTGTTAGAGTAGCCTTGCCAGGTTTTAATTTTTAAATCTAACAGACTGTTCCCAATATATAGGGTAGGGTCTCTAGGCCTGGCTGGTGATCAGGGTCGATCTGTGGGGTGACCGGCAGGCAGGGTGACGGGGGGGGGACCCCCCCACTGGCACCTGCCTTGGCTGACGGCCTGGCACCACCCGCTCACTGGCTCTTCCCCCTGGCACCGCCCCCCCCACCACTCCCCCCCTCCCCGCGCCACGGTGGCCTCCCCCTTGTGGGGCAGACCCCCAAAACAGGGACGCCCCCAATTGGGGGCGGCTCCTGCATTGAGCATCTGCCAACTGGTGGTCAGTGCGCTAGTGACCTGTCATTCTGCCGTTTGGTTGATTTGCATATTAGAGTTTTATTATATAAAATGTCTTAGTCAAAGACTCAAAACATGTTTACCGGCAAGCAAAGTTTTAGAGATTCTTCAGGGAAATTCTATGAGGCATTAAATTACTCAGTGGTAATCACAAATTATGCTAGGATCATATTTAAAAATAATCATTGGGAGGCATGTAATGTGCTATAAAACAAACTATTAGTTAAGGGATGGTAATTCTTTTGGAAATATGCTAGCATTAAAATATAGAAGGAATCAGGTCATAGATATTTTTTCAAAACACTTTTAAAGAAGGAGAAATGGAAAAGCCTTGTAATAATTGCTAAATTTCTTAGTTAACACCCCACTTGAAAGCTGTGGAAGAAATCTGTTTTTGAAATCTTCCAAATTCAAAACTATGTTTCAAGACCAGTTTTATGAACTGGTTCTGAGATGTTTCATGATCTCTACAGTGGCCACACAATGTAGTAAAGCACTAAAAAGTTTCTAGCTTATATATTTTTAAGAGAGACTATGACCTTTATAAAGTTTTGAAGTACTATTTTAAGCAAAAAATGCTAACGTGGAGGAGAAATGTAACAATTATTTAACAGGAAAGACCATTCCTAGGGCTCAATAAAAAATAGGTAAATGCAAAAAAATAATAATAAAATAAAAAAACCCCATTTTTCTAACGCCTTTCACGTGGGCTCGAGTGGAATCTTGTTTGGTCGAATAAATCCCTGACAGCTCCCAGCTCCCTGAATGCTCCTGCAGCATCCCTTCTTCAATACTGTGAGGCAAGGAGTGTGTCTGGGGAACTGAGGGAGTTTTCTTGGCTTGGCTCTTTGGCCTTTCATCTGTTGCATCTCTTCTACTCTGCATAAATCATAAAGCTCCCTAAACTGGTCATTAACCTTCTCATCACATCCATCCTTCTGGGAGAGCATGCCGTGACAAAGCTCTGACAAGACGACGGGTGGCTCCGGGGGGTAGTTTAGACCTCCCAGGTGAGGGGATGGCCGGCCTCCCCCGGGACATTTGCCCAGAAACATGCTATCACACACGCACACTTTCCCCGCCAAGTGGTCCGGCCCTGACGGATGGATTGCCTTGTAAATTCACTTACTGCCAGTTCACTCAACCTCTTAACTCCGGGGCTTACCCAGGAGGCCAAATTTGCCTCCAGATTTGTCAAGTCTTGAGACACAGGTCTGAAGAAGAAAGCAATAATCAACAGTGCAATTTAGAAGGGGAAAAAGGCAGCTGCATTTCCAGGCCCCCCGGTCTATTCTGTCTCACTTCATCTTTTACCTTGGCTGTCGTCACATTAATATGGAGCATATCCGTCCTCTACTGGGGGTTGAGTAAATTAAGAAAGGCAGCTAATTCCTAAATGTGAGCCATCTGCCTGCGAGGAAGCTGACGAAGGATATTGTCTCAGCAGCGCCTGGCACAAGTCGTCCGTGGTCATGAAGACGGTGTACGTGAGGAGGAAGTCATCAAGGAGGGTTTCTGCAAAGAAAGAAACCCAAGCACGCGGTAAGCAAAGCAGTGACGAGGAGGACAACGGAACATGACAAATGCTGGAGGTGGGAGGGGCTAGGAGGGAGCATTTTAGCCACAAGAGAGATTATTTATTAAAGTTAAGATTTTTAAAACTCCTCACACAAAATGCTTCAAGCGGTGTGAAATTTTTATTGCAAGACTCTAAACATACAACTTTTGTCATCTTTTCCCCCCCTAAAACAGTATTTATATTTGTGGGTAAAGGTGTTACGGAAAACCAATGCATAAATCACGTGCTTTTAGAATAAAATTTTACAATATTTCTGAGGTATACACTCCAGTCCTACAAGGAATGAAGCTGAGTGTTCTAATAAATGAAGCTTTCTAAAGCCATTCTCCTCAGTCTAGGGCAAGAACAACAGTAATAAAACCCAGAGGACATGGATCGGGTTCCAAGGGCATTCACCTTATCTCTCAAATGTATCTGTAAGAAGCTGGGAAAGTGGCGAGTGATTTTCTTATTGCTGTGAAGACAGACAGAGCTGAGTCCTCACTCCGTCCCAATTCCTCTCCTACCTCCTTAACCAACAAGAATGGGCTCCATTTTCATCACCTCTTTGCCTTGGGAGTTCTTTGAAAAGTCCAGCTCACATAGAATGTGGAACTGCTGACCTGGCAAATGTGACCTCGAATGAACTTCCAAATGACAGAAAAGATTATATGCAGAACACAAAGTAGAGCTTCTGCCCTAAGTCTTCATCCAATCTCCTTAACTTCAGATTCATTTTACTATACAATTTCATTTTACATTCTGGACATTAACTTTTTAGTTATTTGAAATAGTAATAACTTATACGAATAGTGGGCTTGGCATGTACCCAAGAGTACCTGTGTTTTCCAAAGTCTACCCACTAAAGACATGGAGACAGAAAGAACTGCCCAGGACAGAACTTTATAGATACATGTTGGAGACTGGAAAAATTTCAGAACCTTTAGAAACAACCAGTACCATTCACTTTAAAAATCGTTCAAAGCAGAACAACAAGGCTATGTTTAGGAGCACAGCACTCTGATGAAAGAGGTTGTGGATGGCATCCACAGTCCTATGTCAGCTGCAGGGCTCGATTTATTTCTATGGTCTGCTTATGTTGCAGAATGTCAACGATAACCCTGACCCACACAAATGGTAATGCTCAACAACAACAACATAAGAAGGGAATTTTTTCAAATGTATTTATTTATTTTAGGTAACAATATTCCTTTTTCAAGAATAAACTTGACAAATGGCACCTAAAATGTGAAACAAGCCTACACTTAGAATGTATCTCACTGTAACATGTTGTAGATAGTCACTGGTCTAACTTACTTTATGGCAAAAGCCAGTTCCCGAGCAGATGTGCCTGGGCCTTGCCGAGCGTGGATTAAGTCCAGTACGAGAAGACCGTGGGAATGTGTCTGGGTGGACGATTTAATGTGAGGGGAGAGGCCCAGCCTGCATTCAGAGGAGAGCCAGGGGCTTCCTACTGGAGCCCCTGTTTACAAGAGTCTTACATCTGCACAATATGGCAGGGGAAGCTTCATTCAGAGATCTGCCCCCAAAGTCGTTAACCTGGCAGCAAAAATGTACCACTGGTCACCCCAGTAAAATAAATGTGGAGTATACATTTGATACTTTATATGTCTTTCATTAAGGTTTTTAAATAGTTTAAAGTCAAACGATGGCATACTGTCTGAATCCCTGGGATATTTTAAAGAGGAATGCTCGCCCAGAACATTTTTCTGTATTAAATATAATTGATGAAAATCCTCAACTTCTCTTGTCTGATTAGAAATTGAAAAACATTTTTTTTTTGCATTCAATGGTAGATACAGGCAGCAGGGACAAGAGAGAGCCCAGAATCTGCCTCAGATTGGAGCCAACGATGTACAGAAACCACTGGGTGATGGAGCTGAGAACCTTACCCTGCCAGCATTTCAAATGCTTGACATTCAGGTTCAGGCTCTTTGGGGGTGATCTTACACTTAGCTAATTTAATGAGGTTGGAAGGATTCTCTAATCAAGATTTACTCCATTAGGAGCTGAGATGAAGAACACCATTAACTTTGACATAACCAGTCTTTCCTTTCTGGAACAGCCTTAGGTAATGAGCTGAGCAACTGTGAGTCTGGTTGGATGCTGGCAAAACAACCTGACATTCGGTTCAATTAATCAGCTCACATATGACAATATTTTGTTAAGGGCTTTGACCCAGAAATGCTTATTTCCCCAAAGTTACTAACATATTAAATATTCAAGGTATTTGCCTAATTATCTCTCTGCCATAGAAATATTAATGAAATAAAAACAATAAGGCTACATAAAAACATCTCCAGCTAACATCCTAATGAATAGAATAGCTAAAAATCGTAAAGAATAGAACAAATTCGCAATAGTCTTCAATCTCTATTTAATTAGCATATTGTTCTGAAATTTTTCTATATATAAAGAGCTTTCCTTTATTCTTTTTCAGCACTGGTATTTTTTTTTTTTTTGCTGCACATGAAAGTAATTGAGTGATATAATCAAAATGACACACTTCAAGTAAAAGTGCATTTTATAATAGCCATGCTTCAAAAAAGGCTGTCCCACTGGTACTTAAAGATATTTTTAGAACCACAATAGCTATATAAATGATCCCCTGAAGACTATTAGAAAACAATAGCCATTTAGAAAGACTAGCAAATCCATTGGCATCCACATTAACTCTATAATTATCTATTACATTCTATAGTGCTTAATTAATAGTAATTTAAGACCAGGCAAAAAAGTACCTTTGTGTATAAAAGCATCTTTCATTAAAACAAATTCCTAGTTGCCATATGCACTAACATTCTTATAAAAAGATGTATTCACTTTGATTTCTAACTCTGTGAATACCTAGGTATCAATATACAAAAAAACTTTTCTTTAAAATTCTATTCATTAAATCAATCACTTAATCTAATTCCAAGTTCTTGGCTCATCACTGATAAAACTATTTGGACATTCTTTTGGGAATACCCTCTATTCAAAAATAAAAGAAGCCTTAGCTGGTTTGGTTCAGTGGATAGAGCGTCGGCCTGAGGACTGAAAGGTCCCGGGTTCGATTCCGGTCAAGGGCATGTACCTTGGTTGTGGGCACATCCCCAGTAGGGGGTGTGCAGGAGGCAGCTGATTGATGTTTCTCTCTCATCGATGTTTATAACTCTCTATCCCTCTCCCTTCCTCTCTGTAAAAAAAAAAAAATAAAAAAAATCAATAAAAAAATAAAAGAATATTTTAAAATACAGGAAGTACTCTTACATTTAAAAAGTAACATGCTAATGGCAATCAAAACTGGAAGGCAGCCCAGCCGGCATTGCTCAGTGGTTGAGCGTCGACCTATGAATTAGGTGGTGGTCACTATTTGATTCCTGGTCAGGGCACATGCCTGGGTTGAGGGCTGGATCCCCAGTAGGGGGCGTGTGGGAGGCAGCCAATCAATGATTCTCTCTCATCATTGATGTTTCTATCTCTCTCTCCCTCTCCCTTCTTCTCTGAAAGGAAATAGAATTGCAGTTTTAAGTACTGTGTAACCTGAAATAAAATACATCAATGTGTAGTCAAAACTAGAGCCTTGGTAGAAGGAGCTCTAAAATTCATGTCTGCAATTAGCCCCAATGACGTTAATACAGGGCTCTTCCTAGCATCTGTTTTCATTTTAAGGCATAAGAATTGGTTATTTTTATTTGGTTTTACTTGAATGTATTTTTCTTTTATCTATAAATTAAAATATTTTCTCAGTCTCATTTTGAGTGTATCAAGCACTAATAATTTCCATTTTATTTCTGCAAAACATAAGCGTGTCTAGAGCCTCCTGAATGTGTATCATGGAGGAAAAGTAACTGGTTTGGTACAGACCCTTTTTGTAATCAAATTATAGAGGAGCTGTGCTAAATGTTTCCAAAAGGTCTAAGCTTAATGCTTTTGTCTCTCTTTCTCTTTTTTTGGAAAAAAAAGGGAAAAAACACACATAAAAACAAACCTTGAAGCCTAAAAATCACAAGGAGTATAGGGTTACTTAGGAGCAATTAGAGAAAACTACTTCAGTTATTTTTCAACACTCATAAGCAAAATGCACTTCAATAATGAAACCACTCATCTGTTAAAGTGAATTACCAAATGAAAAGAATTTTGACTGACAACTGCCTATAGTGGCCATTTAATCTAAGTAAGGTAATGTGAATATTCGACACTTCTGTACTAACTCATATTCCCTAACATACCGCTAGCAGTTTTGTGTCACCTGTATTTCTACCTCAGAGGCAATGGAATGTCAGGCACTCTAAAATATGTTCTACTTAACCTTTATTTCAAGGAGACAAGAGAAGCTTTGTACTTGAAAGGGCCCATTTCTGGCCCTGGAATGTCACAACTTACCATTATTTTTTGAGGAGCAGTGCCAACATGTACCATGTAATTTGATAAGCGCACTCACACACGCGCACACGCACACACAAACTTTCATGTTCATGTTTGAATCGCAGGTTAAAGCCACGCTTCTTTCTCAGTGCCTTGGTCCACAGAACAACTGTGAAACAGCCATGGAAGAGATCACATGGTATAACCAAGACGTAAAGCTGGGAAAGTAGGTTGGAATAAATTCCTAGAGGGACTTTGAGCACCAGGCTAAGGAGGCTGGGGCACCTTCTACAGGAACAGGGGAGATTTTCAAAATGAGGAGCGACAAGAGACACAGATGATGCTTGCTGCATCAAGGAGGTCAGACTGGATAAGGGATAAGCATGCGTTTACTTTCAAACACCTTGAGCTTGAGTTCCACGGGTTCAAGTGAAGCTATTGAGCAAAAACCTCAGAGATGAGAGCTTGCTAAAGAGGGCTGGGTGCCTGTGGGTGCTACTGTAGAAGGATGGCTGAGGACAACATGAATTCTCAGACACAGTCCTGGAAAGGGGTCAGCAGGGTCTGAGGGTTGAGCTGGGTTGTA